TGTTCCCCGCCAACATATTTCTCTGGGGCCCCTACGCGGAGTATAGACGCATAAGGCGGAAGATCTTAAAACGGGAGGATGACACACGGAGTAGGAACATATATCCAAAGTTTCAGCCCCCGTTTTCTTGGTTGCTGAGATGAAAGTGGGTTGCAAAACGCACTCGCTTTCCGAGCACACACAGGCAGCCTCTCGACAATATGCGTTTTTGCTGGCTGTAACAGCGCCATAGCGCTGCACAGCAAAAACACATAAAAAAAAAAATTTTGCAGTTACAGATAGGATCACTCAGGCTAGTTTCATGTTCCTCCGTCTTTCGTAGGGGTTGGAACACGAAGAGCGTTTTGACTTTTTTCAGTGATAGTGTCTATTGGACAAGCGGTCTTTTTGCAGATGTCGGAAGCGTGGCAACGCTAATGCAACAGATAAAGCAACCACTTGCCAACGGACGACCTCTTTTTCCAGTAAGAATACCCCTTGCGGGACGACATTCTGTTCGCTGCAAACAGTGCGATCATAGTCTGTGTAAGGGTGAATACAGTCCTACGTCGATCAAATTCAAAATACAGGTGCTGACACTTGGGAATATTTTTATTTTTTTTCAAGGGTGTGATACTTCTGTCCATTATTTGACTGTACCAGTGAAAAACCAATCCCTCTACGATTCTTTCATTCGTTTCGATGGTAAATTGGTATTGACGTGTGCCGGTGGCAGTCAAACCAGCTGTGAGCTTGCTTTTGAGTAATCCTTAATAAAGAGGGAGAGCCATTGATAGCAATGCCAACATATGTTTGTTGCTATCACTTTGCCACCACTCAGGCTATTTTCAGGCATCTTTGTTTTCATTGAGAGTGAATACTAAGAGGATTTCGAATTTAACTTGTTGGGCTGTATAGTCCATTCAAGAGCATTTTCATTTTTGTTCTCTTTTTGCTGTTTAAAACAAAACCCCCTCCGTGTTTTGCTCTCAGTAAAGGCAGAGGCACTCCTGAATAACCTGAAAGGCAAAAACCAACGGCAACCATCCTTAGCAAGTTTGTTTAAGCCATGCGCAGTTTTTTTCCTAAAAGAACAGTTTACTTTTAAAACCAGATCAGTTCAAATCAGATGAACTGAAACCAGATGAAATAGAAAGGGTTGAAGGAACAGAAGGAAAGAGGCAGAGGTGGTAAAGGAGCAGTTATGTATGCAATACGTTTGAAACATGTGAAGAGGATATGTGCTAAGGAGAAAGGATATGTGCTATGTGCTGAGGAGCTTCCATGCTTCCCGAGTTATTAATTCAGGTGTCAAAAATTTCACGCACGGGCAAAGAACTGTATCCTAAAATTTTAGCTTCCTAGCTTTCATGCTTCCCGAGTTATTAATTCAGGCGTCAAAAATTTTATGTGGTCATGCATGAGATGTAGACGTACAAGGGCTTTTGAGCTTGCAGTTTGCAACATCAAGGGCATCCTTCTTAAAAATTTCAGCTTCCTGGCTTCTCTGGTTCCGGTATTGAAAACCGCAGATACAAT